AAAAAAAAAAAAAAAAAATGAAGCCACCACCATATTCTTCTCCTTCCTCATACTCCTCCATCCTCCGAAAGGGCCGCCTCTCGCCATATTTCTTCACCTTGCTAGCTTTCATCCTCTTCGTCACCATTTTGTACGGTGAGGATCTTAGCTGCATTCTCGGCAGTCAGTTCGACTCTCGTTTTCCTTTGAGGTCACATCAAACAATGTCATCGACAACTAGTAAGTTCCCAAACACACACACACACACAAACATATGCCTACTATTTTTATTTTATTTTATTTTATTTTTTTTTTGAGAAAACGTTTCTTTTTTGTAATAAGATATATGATTTTATTTTATCTTATTTTTGGTTTGGTGATAGAAAAGAAGATAAGAGATCAGAAGTTGGCTTTTGCAATTGGTGAGACTAAGGAAAATTGCGACGTATTCACCGGGCGGTGGGTGTGGGACCCGGCTGGCCGGCCGCTTTACGAGGAGGCCGAGTGCCCTTACATACAGCCACAGCTGACGTGTCAAGAGCACGGCCGGCCGGACAAAGACTATCGGCATTGGAGGTGGCAGCCTAGTGGTTGTTCTCTTCCAAGGTTAGATAACTAGCTAGTTTTCATTAAAATCTGCTAATTTTTTTTTTTTTTTCTCACCAACACTTTTTTTTTTTTTTCTTTTAAAGTAATTTATTTGCCAACCATTGTCAAAATAAATGTATAGTTTTGTTAGAGAATTATGAATTTTGATGACAATATTCCTTCCTACCTAATTCTTAACTTAATTTTCAAAATATTCGGTGGCAAACAAACATAACAGAATATTCTTGTCCAGAAGTTGGAAATACTAATGTTTGCGTTGATTAGTAATTTTAATTCAAGAGAAAGATGAGCATAATAATGACCTTTTTAGAGAATGTCAGATTTTAAAAGCAATTCAAACACAAATATGACATTTTTATAGTATAACTATGCGTTTTTTGTTTAAATAGTAAAACGGATCGACCTACGTAATGGTTAAGCCGTCTCACATAAGAATTTGAGTTCAAATTTCTGGAAAGTATAAATGTTACATATTTTTTTTTAATCAAAATTAATAAATTCTTGTATGAGACGGCCTAACAGATCAACCCATCATACCTTT